CATACACATGTGTGTATGCATACATATACCACACATACACACACACACACACACACACACACACACACACACACACACACGCAAGATTCAAACTTTGGGAAAGGTGGCCATAGATGTTTCATAATATAAAAAAAATAAAGAAGGAAGCAAAAATTAAATGTTAATGTTTTGTTCTTGGCGACCTCTGTGCTGGGAAGCATCTCACATATGAGGCTCACATGTGAGGTTCTTCTTCACACATGTGCTGGTGTGGCCAGGCTGGTGGTTGGTCAAAGTGACAGTGTCTGGGTTCTGCAACCTCTGACATTCTTGTTGATCCTCATGACTGGGATTCTGGAGTGGGCTGGTGGTGGTCAGAGATCAAAGGTGATCATTAGCACCTGAGCTCTGAGGGCTTGAACTTGTCTTTCTGATGAAGATGGCTGGGTGGTCTCCAGGCAAATGAGACGCTACCTCGTGCATTGGGACCATCTCTGGGAGACATGCTGAAGGGCAGAGCTAGCGGTGAGGGTAAAAGCTTGGGACTCTGAGGTTCCATGGAAGGTGTGGACTCTGGTGTTGATCCTATGGTGAGACCATGCCTCAGTTTCCCCACGGGCAAAAAGGAGAGCTATAGCATTCTCCTTCGATGTTAGTGGAGGGTCATGTGATTTTGATGCAGGTAAGAACCGAGAATCAGTGCAGGCTGGGCAGGAGCGGATAGGAGCCTTGTCTGGTGTTTGCAAAATACCTGAGCTAAGGCAGAGGAAGAGGAGCGAACGCCTTCCCACGCCACACTGGGGGAAGAGGAGGTTCCCTCCGCCTGTGAGCCGCAGCTCTGCCAGCTCTCCTGTGCTGGGAATATAGACAGCCAAAGCAGGGGAGGGTGCCTGGGGACCAGGGTTTCCCAATCTCTCTGCCTCCCAGTGAAAAAGCCTGGGAGAGGAGGCGGGTGTGTCGTGCCGCTCCTGGGGGGTGGGGGTTGGGGGCAGAGAAAGCCTGCTGTACTTGCATGGTGGTGGGCAGCAGGTGCTCAGGGGGCCTCCCTGTCCCCACAGCATATGCGAGAGGCTGCTGAACGGCGGCAGCAGCTGGAGTTGGAGCATGAGCAAGCCCTGGCTATCCTCAATGCCAAGCAGCAGGAGATCCAGCTTCTGCAGCAGGTGAGCCCAGGAGTGTGTGTATGTGTGTGTGTGTGTGTGTGTGTGTGTGTGTGTGTGTGTGTGTGTCCATGTCTGTGTGCTTGGCTGGGAGGGTGGGGTGTGTGTATGTGCTGGGAGGGTAAAGTATGTGTATGTGTGTGCATGCCTGCTGCTGGGCCTGGGGAGGTTTTTATAACTGTGCACCAGGCTGAGTCTTGGGGACTGCAGAGCCCTTTTGTGGCCTTTATTCCACTCTGTGCCCTGGTTCCCCTTAGACTGACTCTAGGCTCTATCTCGTAACACGCAACCCATGCAAAACTGTCCCATCAGATGCTGGGTTGTGGCAGGAAAAGCATGCAGTCAGTTCCTGCCCAGGGGCGTGTCTGGCTTCAGCTTTGGGGAGGCGGGTTGCTCACTGACTTCACCCTGGCCTGGGATGAAATCCTGTCCCAGGGAAAGGCAAAGGCCAGGCCAACACTGCAGCATGTGGTGGAGGGATGGGGACCTAGGCTATGTCTGTGTAAGTCTTGACACGTTCCTGTCATGGCCTGTTATGACATCACTGAACGGAAGGGTTTAAGTTCATAGCTGCTGTTGGTATTAAGTGGTATTATTACATGTGTTATTAAGTGGTAAATCTAGGTGTATTTATGTCAAGATTCCATTATGACAGAGAGAGAGAGACAGAGAGAGACAGAGACAGAGACAGACAGAGACAGAGACAGACAGAGAGACAGAGACAGAGACAGAGAGGTGAGAGAAGCCAAGGGAAAAGAGGAGAGACATCACGAAGGAAGGAAGCAGGACCAGATGATTCAGGGTATGCCTTCCACCACACTCTGATGGGTGGGGCTGAGCAAGCCAACCCCACCTCCATCCAAGATTGCTTTGCTGCCCTGTCTCTTTCCCAGGTAGGAAGACCCCTGTTGCAAGAACAGGGGCCGGAAGGAAGGGACGCAGGAGAACCAGAATATGGAGACCAGAGACTGACTGGCTGTCACCTCTCTCTTCTCTTGCCTCAAGCCCATATCTCCTCCTTCCTTCTCACTCACTCTCTTAAGCAGGGCAGTTGGCCCCTGCGGGCAGAGCTTACCCACTGAGTGTCAGAGGTATGACAGCACCCGCACCTGAGCCCCTTGGAGACTAGAGGCTGGGCTGTGGGCATGGGCTGTGAGTGTTTGAGCCCTGGCTCAGCGCTGGCCAGGATGGGTAGCGGGTGACTCCAGTACCTTCTGTGTGGTCCCATGCCTGTCCCATGATCGCCATGGGTCTTTGATGATGATCGTCATGGGTCTTTGATCTTACAGGGACGCTCAGTTGCTCCACCCAACTGGGTGGTGATAAAAATCTGTCTGCTTTTTCCCAACCAGAGCTTATCAGGCAGAGGCAACAGGTAGCTGAATTTTGAAGCCCCATTTTCTAGTCAATAACCGAGACCTTCTATTAGGTCTAGCTTTCATTAAGCTACTGCTCATGGGGACTGTCACAGCCATCCTGCCTGTCATAACAAGTTGGCCAGCATACCGAGAAACAATATTTTGTCAGGATATTATTCTTATCTTCCTCCCCAGGGCTGGGAGGAGCAGGATGCTGCCCTCATCTATTCATTACGACTTGGAAGCTACATCCCCAAGCCGGGTCCATCTGAGACAGATAAAGAGTCTGCAGAAACACAAATAATGTCTAATAAGGGTGACAGGATATGGCTCCTTTACAGATGGCTCCCTGGGAGCCTGAGGGTCATATTGACCGGATTATCTCTCTGATTGGAAAAGGAGCCAGCCCTACCTGCTTGCGCATCTCTGCTTTTGTCTGTCATCCAATTTCCCTTGATCCTTTTGTCCCCGCATCATGGTCTTTATTTTGGACATACGGATGCTTCTTCCTCTGTGAGTACAGAGGAAGAGAAACTAGATAAAATCGGATGCCAGTTTCTATGATTTCTTAGAAACGACGGCTCAAATAAAGAAGCGCTAGGGAGGGTGGTAGAAGATGGGGTGGAACGAGACGGTGAGCTCTTCCCCAAGTTCATGGTCTTCTCTGGATGGCATGATCTGAGCACGGCCCATGCTGACCGCTGCCTTCCTTAAAGCGCTGGCTCTTTGTCAGACACTGAGCCGGTTCAAAAAGTGAGATATGGCCGGGCGGTGGTGGCGCACGCCTTTAATCCCAGCACTCGGGAGGCAGAGGCAGGCGGATCTTTGTGAGTTCGAGGCCAGCCTG